CTTTTCTTTTACTTCTAACAGTCTTAATCTTTAGTCCATTCAAATAATGTAGAATTTGATTTCTTTTCAAAAGCAGAAGGTGTTCTGAGAGCACTTACAATCATCTCCTTTTATTGGTTTTGACCATTTCCATGGTGTCAAAGACACATGTGTAGAAATGTAAAAAATATCTGAGGAGAAATGTTCATGAGGCAATGGAAACTAATGTAGCAAGTAAAAAAAAAAAAGTCTACTCAACAACTGCCCTCCAAATATTATCTGAATACTGGGACTGACTTTAACTTTCAGGCCTTAAGGAAGTCTTCCTTCTTGAATTCTTACATTTATTAGCCCACTTTTCTTCATGCAGTTCATACTTCTGTTTTTCCCCACGAAACAACCTTATGAAGTAAGTGACCTGAGAGATGGTGACTGGTCTAAGGGTATTCAATGAGCTTCCACGGGTGAGACTAGCTGTTTCTGGTTCCATTGCACAACCTCATGTGATGTGCCAAGATTAAATAAATAAATAAATAAATAAATGCCCACAATCTTCCCCCAGCCTCTTCTGATAGGCTTGCCTGCATTGCTCAGTTGCTTCAAAGTGACTTCAGGGTACATCATGCTGCTGTGCTCTGCCCCTTTCCCTGTAGCATACTCAGAGAAGAGTTTGGTCTAGAGAGCTTCAGTTTGTCACAGGCTAATTTCAGCAATTCATTGGCTACTTTGCAGAAGAAGGTTACCCCTTCAAATGAGCCAATGTTTACCATTAGCTACTACCTTTTAGACTTTTCCTTTAATATTATTGTTGTGTAACATAGTTAATATAACTGTTGCTTTGTTTAAAAAAAAAAAACTCTTGCTTTGTAAATCAAACATTCCTGATTTGAAACCAAGCAGAAGCATTTTTCCATTCCCCCCCCCTTCTTTCTGTGTTTTATTTTTAAGAAGTGCAGTTTCCACCATATAATGATTTTCCAGTCACCTGAGACTGAAGGGTTTTACCCAAATAGCCCAAAGAACTTCTGGAATCGAAATCATTCCATCTCAGGTGACTGGAATTATGATAAAAGAGTAGAACTGTATTGATTTTTTTAAAAAAAGCATAGGGAGAAGTAAGAACCTCAGAAAGAAGAATAAACATTTTCTGCTGGATTTTGAACTAGCAATATTGGATGTAAGAACCAATACTTGTACTGACTACTATATTGGAACAATTATGTTAAGGATGTGTCAAAAAGCCCCTAGAAACAAGTATGGTAATACGAAAAGATTTTTAAAAAACACTTTTTGTTATACCTTCATATGTATGTACCGTATTTACCCACAGATAAGCCGAGAACTTCAGAGGTAACAAAACATTGTGTTCAGTTTATCCAGGAGGGCTTATCCACGAGTATATGTGGTAATACCTTTATTAAAAATACCCTTATATCCTGTATATACTCACAAATAAGCCCATCCGTGGATAAGCCAACCCTCAAATGTTCAGTCAAAATAAAGCAATTGTGAAAATTAAAACATGAAAATTTTGAGGGTTGGCCTATCTGTGGGTGGCACATTTTTCACAGTATTTTGGTAAAACATTCAAGGATTGGCTTATCCACAGATGGACTTATCCACAAGTATATACTTTACATAGACACGCATATATAGCCACATGTGTATGTATGAGCGCATGAATGTGGGTGTGCATACATATATATGCCCCGGAAGACCTCCTCACAGGAAGGAAAGTGATTGCCAATTATAGAAATGTGAGAGGGCCAATGGGAGTCTGGAGTCCAGAATACTTTGTCTACTTTTGGCAAAGTATCTCAGTTCTGACAGGACTTTTTGAAGCTGATTTAGAACAACTGTAATCTGGCACAAACACAGGACAGGAGCAGCTTAAATGTTAAGTGCGGATATGCCTTATGCCTCATCTGAGAATACTGAAACTGGGATTTCAGCACTCTTGCCAAGTATCTCATATGAGATAACTGAAATATTGTGAGATTCGGTGATCTCACAACATTTTGGCTGTTTTTAAAAGCTGATTTTTAATTAACTTGGGAGGCTCATGCTTATGACCTGATGCCCCAGACTATGAGGTTCTCTAACACCATTGTGCTTGCTACAAGTAGTTTACTAAATCCTGATTTGTTCTGTTTGGTTTCTTTTGAAAAGAAAGATCTTCATTCAGCCATATCACATGTGAGCCTAAGGACAGAATTCTCAAGTTTGAAATAGACATTATAAATAGCTTTGAAAGTCAGAACTGCAGAATACTTCCTCCCCTTCTCATCTCCAAGCCTTTATAAATTTTGATCTGTCAACAGTAATGAATCTTCAAAAAAAACATTGTCAGGATTTAGCTTTTCTTTCTGATAAAGCAGCTATGTCAGAGAACAATGTGAAATAATTCTGTGATTTAATAGGTTCACTATTCATTTAGTCAGTGACAAACCAAAAACATTTTATTAGCCAGTCAAACGTGACAAGAAAGTCAGATAGGAAACAAGAGATGTGAGCTCAACTTATCTTAAGGGATGCTTCCACAAAATGAGTGACATCTTTAAGATGCTTACTGTGTGAAAGTATAATATGGCAGCACATTTGTCTTTCTGTATCATATCTATACAGAGATGGGTTAATCAGGGATTATTTGTATTTTTATTGTATTATTTGTATTGGCTGCTGCGGATTTTAAAGAAGCTGGGTTTTAATATGGCTTTAATGTTCATTATTGTATATACTGGTAATTGTTTTATTTTGATTTTTGTCATTTTATATCCTTATCTTTGTTCATCCTTTGAATAAGAGAGATTTATAAAGTAAATTAATAAACCACATTTATTTTGATACAGAAAATCACAATATTTTGAGAAAAAATAAAAGACACCAAAGAGGTCCATAGAATAAGATTGGGCAATTATGGGCTTATTTATTAAAGCCGCTAATGTTTTCATTCAGTCTGACTTTCTGAATAATTTTTGGTCTTAGAGATGTACAAGTAGAAATACTGAGATGAATAAATAACACAATCATATATAAAAGTATGCAAAATTAATCCCATTAATAGATTTATCTCTAATTTGTCACATCTATAACCACATATTTCCAGGAAAGTGGGTACAGGATTGACAAATTAGAGATAGACTATAAAAGCCATAACAGATTGGGAAATTTATCAACACTCATTAGAAGAAATGAAATCCTCCAAGAATTGCTATTAATTTGTGCTGGATATATTTTGCATAGCATAACCACCAATGGCTCAGACTGGATTCTAAGATCCAAAACAGCGAAAGCTGTTTCCCATTCTGATGTCATTTATAGCTAAGGAACACCCTAACAAGAAATAACAAAAAGGAAAACTGGCACTTTTCCTCTTGCTCATCATCACCTTAGCAACAGTTCTCTATCTTTATAGAGACTGAAAAAGGTTGAATTGTCCTTCTTACTTCCTGACAATCAAGAACGATTATGGAGCCTGAAAACAACTGTTAATATGATTACTCAAAGAGCAATTTACAGAGGACCTGCAGACCGTGATCCTTTGCCCTGGAACCTGAAATCTGAACTACCTCATTCTTTTCACCAGCTTTGCAGTAGTAAAATCTTTCCCTAAAAATAACAGATATGACTTCTGTGCTCTGAGAGCTTGAATATTTCTCAGAAGCAACTAAGCAATCAGACTATTGACATTTTCAATACAGAGACACATAAAGTGACATTAAAACACTGAATACTTTTATATCTGCTAATAGGAATGTTTTGCGAGTCAATTTTTCTTAGTTTGCTTTGTCTTTAATAAAACACACACTGATGAGAAATTTTATATAAAATAGTACCATGATCACATTAGGAAGAAATCAGTACAGAAATGGAGAGCTATTTTAGGAGTTTTTTATTCAAATGTACTGCAGCCTTTTTTGACTATAATTATATTATGACTACTGCTTCAGCTGAAGTCAAAGTTTAGCAATACAGTGGAATATGAAAAAGGGCATTTCTTTTGGTCCAATTTTGATTTCATTTTGAGATTTAAAAATTGATGTGCACAGGTTAGGTCACCTATAAGTTGAGCGCCTATTAGGAAATGCATGTTGTATTATCATAGTGAAACATTAGTTAGAAAGGTGAGAAGCAAAGTCATAATCACATTTTAAAATCTTATTGAAACTATTTTTGCTAGAAATAAATTCATTATTGCAGACAGCAAGAATCTAGACCAAAAATAATGGCTGATAGTGTTCCAATCTGGCTATTATGGAAAATTCCAACACTATACATTCTTGATTGCTTTTTAAAATAAAAAATAAAAGTCTGAAAGCACTGAAAAAGAACAAGTGTTTCATTATATTCTTGGATTTGTCAAATCACCATGGGCTGTTTGAAGTAGAATTGCCAAGTATTATTACAGTTAAGCTCAGAATACAAATCACTAGATAAAGTTGTTTGACAATCTCTGTTAAGATCACTGGTTTATTCTAAACTTTTGCAAAAATCCCATAAGTGATAGAGACTACATATCTAAAGTGTTAGGTGACACATATGCCCTGGCAACAATATCTGGCTCATACTTTTCCAGCTAGAGAAATTAAACTGCAACCCAAGTCTTGCATTGAGAATCTTAATGTGATCTGATAGCTCCATGCTCTCCTGAACAATCAATTTTCCCTTCTTATAATTCATGGAACTTCCATATTAGGTATGGATAAAACATATTGCCTATCCACTCAGCTTTGTAATCGTCTAAATATCTGAAATTTTGGTTACTTCAGCAATTTATTTTTTAACTTTACTGTACAATAGGTACAGCCAATTTGAATCCCTCCAGATGTTTTGGACAGCAACTCCCATAGCGTGGTGCCATAAGACATGCTCACTGAGGTTGATGAGAATCAGTCAAAAAATCTGGAAGGCATCAGATTACCTACTACTGCTGTTGAGTATTTATATAACATTTATTTCTGGCTGCTGTTGAGTGATAAAAGCTTGCTCCATTTCTCTAATGCAGTGAGTAAATCAATTACCTTGTACAAATTCCAATTTTCGGCTTATGGTAGGCAAAGTCCGATTCAGTCTCAGGATCCTATCCAAATGGAAAGCGAACACTTCACTCATGTCAAGAGGTCTTTTGATGATGCCACAGTGACCTTGGCTACATATGTCTTCTTTGACTGACTTATTATCAACTTCTTTTCTCCCAAATACCAGAAGTACTCCATGTTGAGAAGGCACTTCTTGGATACTGTTTATTTTGGAATCTGCCATAAAACGCATACTTAGGATGTCCTCTTTACTCAACCAAGATGGTGGGCTGTCACTGTACATCCTGATATTACTCTCCTGAACATTAGTTTGAACATTTAGGCCTCTTATAATCATTTCAGGTCTCCAGTGGTTTGTATTTTGAGACATTTGTTTTTCTTTTTGCTGTTGTTTCTGCCTTGCTTTCTCTGGAACTACTGCTCCTCTCCTCTTGCTCACAGATTTGCCATAAAATGACTTACGTTGGACTGTGCCACCCACTGAGTTCTTATTCCCATGCTGCAAAGGCAATACTTGCTTCTTTCTTTGCTTGGGCTTCACAGTGCCTCGAATCTTGGCAGGTTTGCTCCTCTTGGACCGCAAAGTGATGTATACCACATTAGGCAACATTGGCGTGTTATTTGTCCCCATCTGGGATTTTTCAAGGTCAGAAAATGACCAGGTGCCATCCAATGGGATTTCAGAAAAATGAGGCTGAGCAACATCTTGAAGATTCCAGGAGTTTGCTTTCAATAGTCCTGTTCTATGTTGTGGTACAACACGACCTACTTGACTGACGAGGAAGCCCAGATATATCACAAAAGCAATGCCCAACAGCAAATTCCTTCGGGTCCTTGGGCACTTGCCACTCCAAAGCAGCCGAGATGAGCACAAAGAACAAAAGAACCAGTTGATAATTTGGCATGTCTGAACCAGGAAGCTCATTTCTCCAGTGAATCAACATGATGGAAGTAGTTTAAGAATCCACTGGTTGCCAGCTCAGATGATGCTGCATGCCTTCTAAATGACCAGATGTCTCCACCTCCTTTTCCAGCTGTTTGTGTATGTATGCCTCTATGCATATACACATTGAAAGTGCTGTACAATTGTAAATGTTCAGTTCTAATGAATCTGACAGCCTACCCTGATAAGCTGTTAAAATCTTTCGGCCATCTCAAAGGGTGTGATTGGGTTCAGTGAATGAATGGAGTCGGCTGTGTAAACAGAGTTAACTGAGTCACAGTATGAAAAGTCTGGGAGTCCCTTCTGGGCTGCTGAACTGTTAGAGGGGAAAGAATGACAAATATCATTTTACAGTCATCATTACCCTCATGGTTATTTTTAAACCATGTAAGTCTCTTCATTTAAAGACTACAGCTAGTGATTATATATACATTCCCAGACAGAAGAAAAGGTTGGTACTTCATGTTATGTATGTCAAATTAATAGAAAACTATAAAAATAATCCTCAAACATAGTATGAAATGAATTTATTTTCCAGAATTTCTGTACATATTAGTTCATATTACTAACAACATTGAGTTAAGTGGCATATTTTTCACAAGTTGGTAATGGGTATTTCTCCTTCCCATGCTAGTGGCAAGGAAGATGTCATAAAAATCATTCACTTTATTTCTTCTTGTTAGCATGGAAATATATAAGGACTATGCAGGAGAATTAAGATTATTATACAATTTTATCAGATTTAACTAAAGCAGAACATACTAGTCGGATAGAAGGATTTACATTCTTGGGTTTACATTCATTTAGGCATCTTAACAAGCAAAGGTTCCTCCTTTTTTCAATGGCTAGATTTTTTTTTAATACAAAAATATCACATTGCAAATAACAAATATAAACAATTGCAGCATGAGTAAATTATGCACATGTGCATATTCTGTTGTAAATGCATCCTCTTGAGTCTAAAAATAGTATTATACTGATGTGTTTACATAGCACATCTGTGGAAAAGACAATTTACACATACAAATGCACATGAACATAACTTTACAATGCTACAAACTACACACCATATGAAACAGAAAATCTTTTACTTATAATAATTGTATTATTAAAATAAAGTTTAAAATAATCTTACCTACACAGCTGGCCCAAATCTTAGCTCAAAAGTTTCTAGCAGTAATAAATACTAGCAAAACCTTTAGGAAGTAAAAGAAGTCCATTTTTTCCATAGGAAAAAAAATAAAAAATATCCATCAGCTGGACAATACTTTTACTAAGATCAAGTAAAAAGTTACAAAATAATAAACAAGTTTTTGATGTTTTCAACCTTATTTTTCAAAATCCTAATACACAGTTCATTTATCAAGATGGTTCTGTTTTAGAAACGTCAATCCAGATCCACATTCTTTCTATATATTCTGACCATTCAGGATGGGTGTTCCTAGTTAACTGCCACAAACGTACATGAACTTTTCATTTCTTTTAAGCTATTTTAATTTCTGGAATGGGAAAGCCTAGTCTGAAGTCTTGTTTCTAAAAAAGAACAAACTTAGATCTGTTTTTTGTAAGTTCTGAGGGCCCCCTAGTGAACAAAACCCAAAATGGTTTAAGGCCATCATCTTTACTGCAAAAGAAAAAAAAACCTGAGATGTTATTACAATTTATGGCTGCAAAATTAAGCACATTTTATTGAAATAAATCAGACTAACTTTAATGAATTAATTAAAGGACCATCAGTGCCCCAAATTGCTTATAATTTTAAAATTGTCAGCAGAGAGAAGCACTAGAGGAAGGGAGAATGGAGACAAGGATATGAACAAAACAATCCTGTTAAGTTAAATAAGAGGTAGAAAATCTTGGGAGGCCAATGGGCAGAATGGGATTTTTGAAAGGTAAATAATACCAGGGGAGATTTTACCTGACCAAAAATGTCTGCTCTGCCAAATCTAGCTACTCACAAGACAGACACTGACCAGGAGAAAAACTGATGAGTTTGTTGCATACCATCTGCCTAGCCCTCAGGAAGCTGTCCACCTCCCACTCAACCAGCTCATCTTTTTTTTCCTGGACAGGTAGACATATTTTCACAAGTACCAATGAAATGTAGCCATGGACCATTTTTTTCCAGTCATTCTTGTTAACAAAATTGCACGAGCTCCAGTGAATTCCGAACATAAGGGATATCAAGCTTAGTAGGATAATAGCATTCCAGCAATAATGGTGAACACAGAGACATATAGTATTATGTGGATGAATCATAAAGATAAGAAGTTTATTAGTGGATATGATCAGGATACACAGATTAGCATGAGCTAGGAATCAAAGACCAGTCCAAAGTTAGTTACCAGTTTTATTTAATCCAAACATCTAGCAATAGGCCATTACTTCCATTAACGTTACAAATATTTAACATACAATTAAACAGGAGATCTTAATTTGGTTCTACTCACACAGCTGCTACTATTTAACTTCCACATAATTTAAATAAATGGGTGCTAT